CCCCCACAGCGGGGCAGGCCACCCACAGCCGAGCCGGCTTCTGCCACCCAGGCCTTGGGCTCCGTGCTGTGGGACTCAGGGCTGGGCTTGCTTGGCAGGTGCCCCGGGGCCCCAACCGGTGCTGTGGGACTCAGGGCTGGCCTTGCTTGGCAGGCGCCCAGGTGCCCACACCCGCCACATCCTCCACCCCAGGGCACTTCTCCGTCAAGATCTTGCCTACGGAGTCATACCTGGAGAGTGGCCTGCCTCATCATGGGCCGCGGCCCTGCAGCTGGAGTATGTTACCTCGGAAGACCCTCGGTAGCCTCCAAAGGGGCCAGAAGACTCCCAGTTCGGCCCCAGCCTCTGTCAGCACCCTGGTCCCATCGGTGGGGGAGCCTGCCCTGCTGGAAGTCGGCCGGCTCCAGCCATGGGACAAGCACCGGGCGGAAAGTGCAGAGCAGGCCCTGTGCAGGGCTGCCCTGTCCAGCCTGGCAGAGCCAGCAGCCACACACCCCACACTGGACACAGCCTGCCACTGCCCCTCTGGGGAGGCCGCACAGCTGGAAGCCGGCACCCTGCCCACGGCCCTGCAGACCACAGTGGATGACCAAGCCGAGGTGTGAAGAGGGGCTTGGCGTGTCCTCTCCGGTTCCAGGGCACCAGGAGCCACGAGCTACAGCACCCTCCCCTCCCACCTGCAGAGCCAGCCCAGTGCCAGGTGAGCAGCACCCAGGACGGCACGGGGCGTGCCGCGCACTGATGGGTCTTCCCCAGCCTGGCACGGCTTCTGTCTAAGCGCAGAGATGGGCGGCAGCTCTGGCTGTGTAGACGGATGAGCGTGCTCCACACTCTCCATTGCTGGGGGTTTTCTCGCCTCTGAGCTGTCCTGGGGAACGGGTTCAAAGCGGACTTAGTGTGGCCCTCCCTCCTGTTGAGCAGTTATGTTGGCAACGGTATGACTTAAATGGTTTTAAGGAGCTTTTTCAGTATTTTTATAGGGAATAAATACAAATTAGTTTTAATGGCGACAAATTGGAAATCTGTCACAGTAAATTGCAGTTGATCCCTCATCTGAACACAGGGTGAGCTCGTAGGGAGAGCTGCCCTTGGCCGTAGGTGACTGCCTACCTGCATGGGGGGCTGCCAGGGCTGTCCCACCTCGTTCCTGCCCCTCCCGAGCTGCCTCAGGCTCAGGACAGTGGCCTCTCCAAGGAGCTCAAAGTCCCCTGGGAATCAGGCATGCATCTGGGCCTCCAGAATGGCTCCCAAGCCCGCCCCGCTCTGGCAACTCTCCAACTCTGCAAAGCCTCCTGGGTCGCCAGGGGTGCTTGCTCTCTCTCTCTCTCTCTGTCTCTCTTTCTGTCTGGCGAGTACATGTGCCCTCTGGCAGTTAAAAAGTAGGAAGATGCAGAGCTGGCAGGTACACACTGGTTAAGGCACTGGACGCCCACATGTCCAACCGCAGTTTGAGTCCTGGAGGTGGCAGTTTAAAAACCACACTGGGCACATGTGTGTGTGTGTGTTCCTCAAATCCTGAGAGGAGAATGGAGGAGAAGGGATTGCAGTGTGGCCATCCCCACTGGGAGGACAGCCTCACTTTCCCTCTGTCTGTCTCTGTCTCTATTCAGCAAGGGCATGCACCCTATGTCAAAAAAACCAAAAAAAAAAAAAAAAAAAAAAAAGGAAGAGTGGAATTTTTTTTTTTAAAATATATAACGTCATGAGTGTTGGTGGCCCCAGCCGATAGGATGGTACTGGACTCCCACATAGCCAACTGCGGTTTGACTCCTAGACCTGGAGGCTTGCTTTCTCACATTCCCCTCCTCTCTCTATTTCTCTCTGGTGAGTGTACATGCTCTATATAAAAATTTAAAAATAATAATAAATAATATTAAATAACTCTTCTTTTTTGGGGGGAGAGGTTTTGGCTATAGGGTGCGTGCACTCGCCAGAAAGACAGAGACAGAGAGACAGAAAGCGAGAAATCACCCCCCCCCCAGGGGGGATGGCCATGCCACAATCCCTTCTCCTCCATTCTCCTCTCGGGATCTTGAGCACGCACGCACACGCGCCTGGCATGAGTTTAAGCTGCCGGGTCCACGACTCGAACCATGGTCGACTACATGGGAGTCCAGTGACATAGCCATTACGCTAACTGCTGGTCTTAAATAATTCTTTTAAAAATTATTTATTTATGGGAACCAGCAGTTAGCGTAATGGCTATGTCACTGGACTACCATGTAGTCGACAGCGGTTCGCGTCCCAGACCCAGCGGCTTGAAACTCACGCCAGGCGTGTGTGCGTGCGTGCCCAAGACCCGAGAGGAGAATGGAGGAGAAGGGATTGCGGCGTGACCATCCCCTCTGGGGGGTGATTTCTCGCTTTCTGTCTCTCTGTCTCTGTCTGTCTGGCGAGCGCACGCACCCTATAGCGAAAAAAAACTCTCCCCCCCAAAAAATATATATTTATTTATTTATTATTTTTAGTAGTAGTAGTATTCAGTTTTACCAGATAGAGAGGGAGAGTAATAGTGAGAAAGCAAGCTACCAGATCTAGGACTTAAACCTTGGTGGTCAGCCATGTGGGGGTCCAGTGCCCTTAACTACCACACTATCTGCTGGCCCCAATAAAATTAAATAATTCTTCATAAACCATATTAAGGAGTCGTAATAAGTATATGTGATTACAGCACACACAGAGGCGCATGCCTACCTATGTGTAGACATGAATGCACGGAAACAGACACACGTACATAACTACATATGAAGTTGAACACACACATGTTACATGCATGTGTGTATATGGTACGCACATATTCTGGTGTTCTCTCTCATATGTACATGCACTCACACTTTTACACATGCACACTCACATACTTGCACAATCCACACATGCATGTGCACACACAAGTACACATGTGCACCCACATGTCCTCACAGATGTTTGTCTGAGCCACCAAGGACCCATGGAACTCACTGGTGACCTGCCTCAGCTGCACCCTGAACTTTCCTAGGGTCCCACATGCATCACCTCACTGACCACCCACTCCAAGACCGCACACAGCAAGCTGGAGTATGTTCTTAGCCTGGGGCTTCCTGGGGTGCTGACCAGGTGCCTGCAGTGGGTTGCACTTTCACACAGGCCTCATGCTGGGGGCTGTCCTGTGGCAGGCTCCTAGGAAACTGGGGTGCTGGAGCATATTGGCTGAGCACCCCTGACTGAGCTCTGGGACCAGCACCCTAAACTCTCTGCTGCCTGTGCTGGGTTCTGCCCTGGGTGGAAGCTGAGCAGAAGCCAGCAGCCACACTCACTGAGACTGGGGGTGCCACAGCAGAGCCAGGGGTGGGACACTACCAACCAAATATGAGTTGGAGCAACTTTAGAGAATAGGCTGTGTGTGGCTCATGGCTCAGCATCTGGGGAGGGTCTTCTTTCTGTAACATGAAATGTCATGTGTCTCTGATCTGGTCCCATCCTAATCACCCCCCAAAAGCTCCAACTCTTAATCCCATAGCCAGATCAAGTTTTGGTCCTCTCAATACATTTATGCTGGCTCGCCTAATTATAACCTATGACACATTCAAACCATAGCGTTCTTCCCTGACACTCAAAATTCATGCGCTTCTCTCATACAAAACATATCCAATGGTCTTAACTTGTTCCCACACCAACCCAAAGTCCCAGTCCCAAGTTTCACCTGGGACTCAAGACAAATTCCTTCCAGCAGTGAACCTGTGAAATACAGATGAATCACACACTCCCAACATGCAATGGCGGGATAGGCACTAGGTAGATGATCCCACTCCACAGAAGAAGCAACATCAAGTCTGAGCCCAGCAGGGGAGACGTTCAGTGCTGGCACTCAACATGAACTTTTACTCCCTGTACCACTTCTTGAGTGCACTCGGGGGTGTGGGCCCCAAAATGTTGGCAGTGTTGCGCTCATAGCAACCTGTTGAGAAGCCCACACAGGTTGGGAGCATACCTGCAGATTCTTTTGGGCTGGTGTTGCATGGTGGCTTTACAACCTCAGATTTCTGCTCAGCATTGCCTTAGTGGAGGCCCTCTACAGTGGCTTTACCCAGTTACAGGTCTCTACCTAGGCTCACATTGTCTAACACATCCTTTGAAATCTAGGTGGAGACCACCACTCCTCTGCAGCTCTTGAATTCTACAAGCCTGCAGAATTACCTACATGTACATGCCACTGATGTTGGATGCTTGTACACTTCAGAGTAGTGGCCCCAAGAGCAGGTCAAGCCACACCTAGGGTCGTTTGAACTACAACTGAGGCCAAGAAATGCTTTTATAGGGCCTGGGGAGTTCTGAGGAAGCTCAGGACTATGTGGCCTCCCCAGTTAGTTCAAGCCATTCTGCTGCTCTGGGCCTGAGATGGGTGGGGTGGCCTTGAAGGTCTCTGAGTGCCCTCAGGGCTTTTCCATACAGTCTTTCTGTTTATCACTCAGAACATTTCCAGCAATACTGATCTCCTCAGCGGCCTGTTCCTCAACCAGCTTTAGTGTTCTCTGCAAACATGGTTTTTCATTCTTTAGATGATCAGGCTGTAAACTTTCCAAATCCTTCTGCTCTACTTCCCTTGTCATTGCAAATTCTGTCTTTAAGTCATCATTTATCTTTCTAAAAGCAACCACATAGCTCCTTCTATATTTTCCTTTGAAAATTTCACCTCCAAATATCCATCACTCTTAAATTTGGCATTCCACAAACCTTAGTGCATGACACAATGCAGCCAAATTCACAATATTATAACAAGGATGAACTTTTCTCCAAGTTACAATAAGCTATTCCTCATTTTCATCTGTGATCTTGTCAGAATGGACCTTTTATCCCCTTTCTTTTAGATTTTTACCATAGAGTGTGTGTACCTTCTGGAGAGGAACAGAAAGACAAAGTGAAAAATCAAACTGCTATCCCTTCACCTCCATTTCTTAGGTTTAATTATTTAATTAAATTATCATTCTTCAACTTGATCAGAGAGAGACAGAGAGAGAGAGAGCAAAGACAAGCCACCAGGTTCAGGACTCGAACCATAGTCAACCATGTGGGAGTCCAGCATCTTAACCACCATGCCACCTGCCAGTCCCCCTTCACCTCTATTCTTCTGCGCTTTGGGGCATGCATGCACACACACCTGGTGTACGTTTCCAACTGCCAGGTCTAGGACTCAAACCGTGGAGTTAGCTATGTGAGGTCCAGTGTTGTAACCACTACACCCCCTGGCAACCCCAGAATTACTTTTATTGTTCATATTTCTATCAGTATCCTAGTCACAGCTGCTTAATCAATCTCTAAGAGGTTCCAGACTCTCCCTGCTTTTTCTTCTTGTGGCCCTCTGCCACACACCCTTAATGTGTTCTAAGCTTTTCCTGTCTTGCTCCTCCAAACTTTCCCAGTCCCAGAGCTATGTCCACATTTTCACGTTGTCATTATTAACACTCCCCTCCTGGCATCAGTCTTCTGTTTTAGTCTGCTGCTGCCAATAACAGAACACATGATCTGGGGTAATTTGTAGAAGTACAGGCTTATGCAGCTCACGATTGGGAGTCTGAGAGAATGGCGCATCTGGGGTGACTTTGTCATGTGGCAGAGGGCAGGAGCGTGCAGGGCAGGGAATGGCTCTGTCTACTCTATTTTTCAGGACCCAGTCATGGGCTTGGCACCCTGACCCTCCTCCAGTATCAGAGCTCTCAACACCGT